CATGTTGACCCGTTTATATTATTATAAATAATATTTTAACACATATATTTATTCTTTAATACAAAATAATAATAATTTTACATATTTTGGTTCATCATAATACTCAATTTATCTATCAAAAAATCTATTATCATATAATGTCATTAGTATTTATAACACTTGTAGAAGTAATATATTTGTTATATAATGATAAATATGTAATGTATATTAATATTATTTAGTGATGTAATTAATTTAAAAAGATATAAGCAAATTTAATGTTTGGTAGGAATGTGATTATATGTAAGTTGAGATAAAATGAAATGTATAAAAAAAATCTGCTTATGATATTTTCCTTTAAATGTTTGAATGAATTTGAAATTCAAATTACAAATCAACCTCCAGTTATTCAAATAATTTTAAAAAAGTTACCAATTGTAGTAAAATGTATGTGGCAATATATTATAAATATACATGACGTCAGTAATGTTATGAATCTTTAAGTTCCTAAAATATATATTGGTTAGATATGAAACTAATTAACTTATATGTTAAGATAATATATATAAATATATGTATTGTACGAAATATACACGTGACAAGTTATTATATTTATTTATATATTGTTTGTATTTTTTATTATATTTGTTTATTATATTTGTATATAAATATATTGTTTATATATTTGTCTGTATTGTACGACAAATTATTATATTTGTTTATATATTGTTTAAATATATATTGTTTAGATATGAAACTAATTAACCTATATGTGAAGATAATATATATAAATATATGTATTGTATGAAATCTTTAACGTGTTTGTTAAATTTTTCCCCTAAAAAATTCAAAATACATTTAGGCATGTTTTGTTTGAAGTTTGAAATTCAAATATGCATCTATATAACAAATCCCATGATTTGTGCTAGCATTAAATGTTACTTGATTTTTTATTAAAAAAATTAAAAAAACATACCAAAAATGGAATGCAATTAATATCCCTATTTTTTTGCTTACTATTTTTGAAAAATGTTAATTCTTATTATATATATATATAGATATATATATATATAAAGAGTAGCAACAAAGCATTAAATTATATTATCATGCATTAAATTTTATTCTCTCTCCAAAATTTTTAGCATTCAATTTCATTTTTAAGTTACAAAATAACTTGCTTGAATGCCATAAATTATGAACATAATACTCACTCATGAAAATGGCCGGGTATATTAGCATAAAGAAAATAGTTATAACAGTTCTTCCATAGCAATTACTTGATCAAAATCAATTTTGAGAATTATTTTCTTTATTCATTTTTTTTTCATGTATTAAATTATGATTTATTTTTGTTTTTTTTATATTATTATCTTTTTAAAGTATTTTTTTCTGTGCAAATACACAAGTTGATTACTAGTTTGGAAGAAAATTTCGAAGATCGTGTGTATTGAAAAATTAACTACGTTAATTATGTTATGATTTATGATATTAAAAAGAATCTTTAATTAGCCCAAAAGTTGTTGATACACTGGTTTATGGTTTATGGTATCTAATATGATAAACAAATGAGTCCACGNAGATGTAAATGAAATGATCAATTATTTATAATTTAATAAATTACTCAACTATTTAAATTTTTTGATTTAGATAGTGTATAAAAAATAAATTTATTTTAATTAATGAATCAATATAAGGTTTTATAACTATACTTATTATTCACATAGATTTTTAAATATATGATATTTGCAAAAATGATTATTTTATGGAATCATTATAGTCAAATAGAATTTCTAAATAAAAATTCTAAAATGACACTTATTTCGAATGAATACAATGTAATCCATTATCAGTCACGTGCAGCGTACGGGTTGTGTAATAATTTTCGATCTAGACATATTTTATGTAGTTTTTCACAATTTAAATTTTACATAACATTTTTGATAAATTAATATAAGTAAATTATATTAATATTTTTTATATATAAATATTATTTATTGAATATTTATAATTTATAAATATTAATGAATATCTCTTACTCTTGCATCGCATGGGATTCGTACGGATTCGTACTAGTTTAGTGTAAAATGAAAAGTTTCATGTTTCTATTTTCCATCCAAAAATTGGCTCCAAGTGAAGAAAGAACTAAAGTCCAATCCACGTGGTTGGCAAATGGCCCATCAAGATGCACTGGTGGGCCCATACAAGTTATAATAATAATAAAAAAGAAAAAAGAGAGGTTCTTTCCTGCCAATCCAAGTTACCAAATACTAACTGCGCTAGGATTCTACACTATATATACATAAGAAAAATACACGAATTTGTTCAAATTTGTTCACCAATCGCCGGAAAATCTTTGGCCCGAGCAAAATCCGCCGTCGTCATCCTCCACATCATCTGCTTCGAAGTTTCTTCTGGTCGAGTTCAACTCCTCACCTATTCAACAGTCATGGAAGGGGCGGTGGCACCGAAAAGTTTTAGTCGAACAATACAGGAGGGCTCCGCCGAGTTGGCGGTGAGAAACTATTCCCGCCTCAGAAGATCCGGCTTCTTGAAACCAATCGAGAGCACCGAGTTCACCGTCGGCCGCTGCCGCTGGACACTCCGTCTGCATCCCGGCGGGAACTCGCTTAAAGCCCACAGGTCAGGGTACTCGTCCCTGTTCCTGACATATAAGAGCGGGGGTTCTGTTTGGTTCCTGTACGAGCTGTTCCTCTTGGACCAGTCAGGTAAAGGCAATCACTTGGGTTTCTCTTTCTTCGGAGGCCCCTCCTCTGGAGGAATTAACATTCCCGCGCGAGGCCATACGGTCGGGAAGTATTTTTTCGTTAGGCGAGCAGTTCTGGAGTCTCCCGATTATCTGAAAGACGACTGCGTGAGGATTCGTTGCAGGATTGCGGTCTTTACTGGTCGGGCTCAAGAGATGCCTCTTATCAAGAATGGGGGGGCCCAGCTGTCGAAAGGGAATCGAAGCGCCGATGTGTTGATTAAAGTCGGGAATGAGCAGGTTTATGCGCATATGTGGCTATTATCTGCCTCCTCGCCTGTGCTTGAATGGGATCTATCCAATCCCTGCCGTCGTCCCAAAGGAGTGTTTGTTATTCCTGATGTGGAGCCCAGAATATTCAAGGTTGCACTTTTTGTTTTCAATGCTTGTGATAATTTACTAATTCTGACTAGTACGTCTATTGTTACATAATATGAAGGATTGTTCTTATTATACTAATCATCAAGATCAAGGTCATGTATGCACCTTATTTGCCATCCTTTGGTGTTTCATTGGTGTATTTGATTGTCAAATTGATACTTTGCCTCCAACTCGTGCTGAAATCAATACCCCCAAGTTTGTGGTGAGGCTACTGCAGTTTGGCTGAACTATACGTCAATTGGGGTCTGGCTGAGTGAGAGTCTGTGGTTACTCTTTAGAACTAAGATGTCATTTTCCTTCTAAAGCTCCGAAGCATGTCTTATTCAATTTTCTTGGTCATTCATTTCTCGTTGCATGTTTGCCTAGTTAATGATCCTTGAGTCTTCAGAAAGCTTTGCTCATCCACAACTATTTTTATTTTTTTGTTTTGTAGGCAATGCTCCAGTTTATATACACAGGAATACTTGAGGAAGATGATCAAGAATATGTCACTTATGCTGGTCCGTTTGTGTTGGATTCATTTATAGGGAAAGTACTTGCAGCTGCGTATCAATTCAGAGTGGAAAAACTTAAGAAGTTATGCCAATCACGCATTCTGAGTAAACTTTCAGTGGAATCAGTTGCATACTTGTTGCACCTAGCAGACCATTGTCATGCTACAGAACTGAAAGCTGCTTGTCTTAAATTTGCAGCTGAAAATCGAGATGGTATCTTTCTTTGCAAAGTCTTTGAGCATCATTTACTATGAAAGTCTACACAACATATTTCATGTATTGAAAATTGATGGCTGTTTCTATTTGTTTATTGAGAAATTTCTTCTGTGTGTGAAGTTTGATATGATATTATAGAGAACACTGCATATTTGGTTAGGATGTTCTTTTCCGGGCCTCAAATTTACCTGTTTAATTGCATTGGGAATACCTGTTTAGAAAATTGGAATGTGATTTTTGAACTAGTGTTGTACCTTTTGGTAAAGGATTAATGCTGTATTTCTCTGTATTAACTATGCCACATTCTCGTTTTACAATGCATCTAGAGTGTCATCCTCCATATGCTTCCTTACCTTTTATTCTACTAACAGAAATTTTTGGCTCTCAAATTTCAGCTGTATTGGAAACCAAAGGATGTGAATACCTTAGGCAATCTTACCCATTATTGTATCTACACTTGAATCCCTCTGCCAGCGTAGGATGGGTATGCCTTAAAACCGTCTTTTTACAATCAAATTACTGTTTTTTTTCTCTTCTCGTTCAAACAGTTCTCAAAGTGCACCGTGCATGCATGAAGAGTTCTGTACCCCATAAAATTAATGATGCTCCTTTGCTGATATGATATGGTTCACATGTTTGCAGGAACTTAGAGTGACCAGCAAAATCTTGTCTGCTATAGAGCCTTTTGTTGGTCTGATGACGTGGTGGATGGAAGTAGCAGTGTGAAACACAGAATAAAAGTGGCTTGGGAAATATTTTAGGGTTTAGGGTTTGTTTTATGGGTTGCATTATTATGTGTATAAGCAGCAGTGGGTCTTGTGATTTTCGATTATTCATGTAATTTTTAGGTTAGTTTGTTTATTTATTCCATCTATTTGGGCATGAAATAAATTGGATGACCAATTGATAATGGTGGTGCTGTAGTTGACTTGGAAAATTCATGATATATGGTTTTAGTTCATTTAATCAAGAAACAAGAAGAGGAAGATCCTGGTGTATTCCAATTTTTGAAACTAATAAAGGTGAACTTTACCGGAATGGATAGTTTATTTATTTTCTTAATTTCATTCATCGAGAGGCTTACGAAATTTTAGTATTTGTTTATCATATATAGTACTCATGTATCATTGTGGAAGAGTTGGATGTTGGAATTATATTACTTAAAACTATTTTAACTGCAAATGCAAAGTTAAATCGTTACATTTGTAAAGTTCTTACAACATTGAGATGCAGGATGAGTCTTTCAAATTTAAAGTAGTATAATCAGTGCCATGTAAAACTCACCATTCCGATTTACATTGTGGGTAATACGACTTTGGTTTAGAGAAATGTGGCAAATGTAGGATTATTGAGATTGCTGCTCTTGTTCATGATATTTTTTCTTGATTTTTATGACATTTGTTTTGTTCGTTGGATATGAGCACAGGCCCAGCACCTCTGGCCTCCATTTTGTCAACTTCAAGATGGGGCTTCTCTTAACTAGATAACAGGCTTCAAAGTTCTCTGCTTTTGGTTTCACACTATCAGGAGTATTGGCTTTGTTCCTGCCCACGGTATACAGAAATCAATGCTCAGTGTCAAAGTTCATTGCCGAACAAATTGTTTTCTATATCGGGAGTTTTGTAGTAATGAGTCATCATTTGTTCCAGGTTTCTACTTCAACTAACTATTTTGTAAGTCTTCAAGAATTTTTGGCGTGTTTAAGGAATGATCTCTAGATAGCCACTGAACACGTGAAACATATTTGTGCCTATGCATTTAAATCCCCCAAAGGGTCAGCAGCAGCAGAAACAAACCCAAGTGAGCCCTTTCTTGCTACTTTAGAGGAAAGCACGCCAAAAAACACTGCTGCAATCCCTTACTTACCTCGATCTCTGCATTTTGTGTGGGAGGGATCACTAATTTTCATAAAGGTTGCCACCTTTTCTAAAAGGAAAGAGGGATTGGCTAAACCATTCTAATGAGCTTTGCTTGTTCTTGCTAAATCCAACTATTTATTATTAGTTTATTTTGCTATTTGTGTAGTTGCAGCTATGCGCATGGTGTGCTCGTATCCTTGCTTCATGGACCACAAGGTCGCATAATGAAGACAAATTTGGGGTTGACCAAATCTCTGTTAGCAATATTGCTGTAATTTCAACATTTGTTGTCAACATTATTAGCTGTCGAGACTCTCATGGGAAAGAAGATTGCACATATCGTCAGACGAGAGTCGACATCTAGTGCTGTATGTGTAAAATAAGAGGAAGCACTCTTTTTGACAAGGCAATATTATTGGCTGATGTCCTGAAAACTTTGGTTTACTGCATTGCCTCTTCTTTTCCCGATGAGATGATGAACAGTGGTAAAGCGGGACTTTTACATGAAGTTTGGATTAGTTCTGCTGGAAATCTTCAGTCGAGATGAGCAGGACTCGGGAATTTCCTTTTTTTTTTTCTGTTGCCTTTGTTAGGAAAGTACTCTAGAAGAGGGAGTGAGAAATACATTGTGTTGAGAAAAAAGTAGTGTTCCTGAAATTTGTAAGAATATTTGCTTATACATGGTAAGTGCCACAGTGCTATCAGTTTGAAGTCTCTCATAACTGAAGATCCTTTATCGGCTTTAGCCTTTGTGGAACAACAAACAAAACTCTCGAAATTTGCAACCGGGATGGCGGCTTGGGGTCGAATGCGACCCCACAGTCCCTAGAGATAAGGAATACCACTGAACACGAGCAATGCAATAACCGGCTAACTGCACGAACCTGACATTGGACTAACTACCTAAACGGTACTGTCCCTCTGCCCAAGCTCATGGCATTGTAACTCAGGACTAACCACCTGACACGTACTGTCCCGTTTTCAATCAGGAACCTGATGCCATTACGCAAAATGGACATGTCGGGCAAATTTCCCAGCACATTTTCGTGGCCGACGAGCCTAAGGACTCAGATTCTCCGTAAACTATAACTCGACTTTCTTGCCCCTTCTATCAACAACTTGACCGATGATCTTAGGGACTAGTTCCACATTAATGCTTGGATTGTAAAGTCTAGTTCTAGTTCCTACAATATCTTACTAACCACACCTATGTGCAAATATAGGATAAATGCAAAGACATAAGATAAAGAAATGTGTCAAAATAATATAAATTACAATAAATTGTCTTTATAAGTAGAAAGAGATCCAATCAAATTAGAACGTCGGGTATTCTACTCTAACATATTCTGCAGATCACCTCAATCAACAAATTAGTGTAATACACAAGGATTAATGTTTGTGCTCTATCATTGGTCCTGTAGTGGAAATTATTACATTATTTCATGTCAGATAATTCTCTGTTGGTAAGGTGATAATTAATTAAGCATGAAGTGATTATTAATAAGAGATTATATGTAATAATCATAACTTTTATTTATTTATTTATTTATTTTGGGACCCTTATTAAAAGTGGTGAACACGTAATTCCCAAATGTGTAAGGTGATAGTCTCTATCCCGCATGTAATTAGTCAGCGCATGATAGAGGCCACCATAAGTTTTTTGGACTTAATTCTCTATATCCACTAAACTAAAAAGGAGAGGATTAATTTTCTTATTAAATATGGTTAACGGGCTCCGTACGAATGTGACCAAAAAAAGGTGCGGAAAATCAAAAGAAATGGTGAATTTCTTTTTTTATTGCAGGAAAAATTAGAAGTCAAAGTTTTTCACATTGAAATTATGTTATATATTTATATGGCCTATGGGTGCTGCTATATGGTACTGATCATGAAGCCAAGCGAAAGAACTAAGAACAAATAAAAATAATGCAGTTACTGATATATTTTAAAACATTTTAACTTAAATAATGTGTCCTTAATATATTGTGTCTAACTAGTACAATTTTTTCCAAAGAAGAATAACCTTAGATTATGTAATGTTAATTGCAGTTTATGTGTTTAGTTATTTTCCCTTTTTTCTCTTTTAGTATTTATAAAGTAAATGAGTGGAAGTAACTACTCGCACGTATTAACCTATGCAACATACGCACAATAGACTAAATTATTGATCATCTTATCAATTATTAGAAGCTAATCTAACAAATCAAATTTGTTAACAAAATGTTGTAATGTAAGCAGCTCTTATGTTATACATGCCCAAGAGTTGCTTGGATACTCAATTAGCACATTGTATAATAAACCCTTTATAAGTATGGTTTAGCAAATAAAATGAAGCTATTATTATATCGGACAATCCTCATTTTTTAAAGCCAAACAGTAAGGTTATCGTTAGATATACCTAAAAGTCGCGCAATTGTACTTTTTCAACAAGTATCTATACTTTCAAATTGAAATTTCATATTTAAAACAATATAAACAAAAGATGACATTTCATAGTATAAACGTAATACATTTTTTTTTAAAAAAAGTATGATTGGTCGATCTGACTAATAATTAGACGGCCCCAGAAAGCATTTTTTGTTAAAATCCAACAAACTCCAATACCAATCATACAATTAACTTGAAGCAATGAAGCTAGTGGAGTGTCTTGAAGCAGTTGAAAATAAATAATCACTTTCAGGTTTAAACCAGCAAGATAGATAGCTTTATATTTCAAACACTCCTACTTCTAGCCTAGGTACACTTTCTTTCACATAATGTAACTATATATTTCTTTCCACTAACTTTGCACTTGAAGTACTCAACAATAAACAAAACAGTGCTGAGAGTTGGGAAGTGGAACACTAGACACTAGCAAATGTCACACAAAATAGTCATTGCACTAAACAAAATTAAACAAAACCAGAACATGACAATTGACACCATTAATCAATGTCTTACTCAGATTTCCACCTTAATGCAATCAGCAAACAAAAATCCAGCTTTTCTTTTTCTTCAGAGGACTTCCATTACAAGTGTAACTCAATCCCACACAACATTTATGACTTGCTAGTAACCACTAACCACTCCTATTGTCATTGCTCATATAGATATATAAATGTGGCCACCTAAAAGGAAGAAACTAAAAACTTGAGTCCTTAGGTAAAAGAAAAAAAGGAAAAAAATAATAAAAAATGGACGAAGAACACCAAGTGCTCGTGAAAGAGCCCGGTGGCCCGGTCGAAAACAACCTGCAGCTAACGGTGGATGAAGTTGTGGAAGAATATGTGGGCGCGTTCGGGTTTTCGCAGCTTATGCAGGTTTTCTTAGTGTCGCTGGCTCGGATTTTTGACTCCCAATGCACGCTCGTCACAATCTTCACCGATGCCCAGCCCGAGTCATGGCACTGTACTGGGCCGGGCTGTATTGGTGGTGGAAAAGCTTCAGAAGTTTGTGTGATGAAGCCCGGGACTTGGGAATGGAGCAGTGGGAATACGAGCTCCACGATTGCTGAGTGGGGATTGGTTTGTGACCGTAGATTACTTGCTGCTCTCCCCACATCAGTCTACTTTCTCGGTTCTCTTATAGGTTGGGTCCA